ACCTGGAGCTAGGAGCCTGTGATAAGAGAGAATAGTTTTTCTTCTGAGTTACCCCATTCAATAAGATCATTTCCAGTCCCATCCATTTACCTGCAAAGTCCATGATTTCATTTTCCTTACAGTTGAATACAATTCCATAATGTACACGTATCACATTTTCACTATCCATTGTTGGTTCAAGGACATTTAGGTTGTTTCCATCTCCTAGCTTTTGTGAACAGAGAGGCAGTCAACGTAACTGAGCGAGTATCTGTGATGTAGGATGTCAAGACCTTTGGGCCTATGCTAAGGAGTGGTACAGCTGGGTTGTATGGGAGACTTATTGTTAGCTTTTTGAGAACTCTCCACAGTGATTTCCAGAGTGGCAGGACCAGTTTGCAATTCCCGCCCACAGGGAATGAGGGTTCCTGAGTTTTGTTTTGTTTTATAAGCACTCGTTTTACACTTATGTATTTATTTGCCAGTGTGGCCTGCAAAGTGGCTCAGCAGGTAAAGGCACTTGCCAACTAAGCCTGACGATCTGAGTTCGAATCCCAGGACTCACATGTAGAAAGAGAAAAGTGACTCTTACAAATTGTCCTCTGACCACCACACCTGTGGCATACGCATTCATCCATACAAATAAATAAATGTAATACAGTTATTTTAAAAATGGAAGATCAAGACCAGATTTTTGTCTTCAAAAAATAGATAAATTTTAAAAATGACAGTTTGGAAAATCACGTGTCTTCAGGCAACACTTCCGGTAGCATGGTGCTGATGTGGCGATGTGCAGTCTGCTACTGGTAGTGTCAGGTGCCTGCATATGCAAATTTCAATTCATTGAGAATTGTATGTGTATGGCTGTTTTTTCCTGCATGTTTGTTTGTGTCCCACGTGTATGCCTGGTACTTGAGAAGGCTGGAAGAGGGTGCCATATCTCTGGAACTGGAGTTATTGATGGGTATGAGTTGCTGTGTGGGTTCTGGGAATCAAACCTGGGTCTTCTAGAAGAGCAGCCAGCCAGTGTTCTTAACTGCTGAACCATCTCTCCACCACCCCCATCAGTGAAAAATGTTTGGACTGGGTCTAACTATGTTGCCCAAGCTAGTCTTAAACTGCTCAAATGATTCTCCTGCCTCAGCCTCCTGAGTAGCTGGAATGGCTAGCTCCTGCCAACACACCTGGCTCTGTAAACTTTATCAACACATCTGAGATAAAAAACAGTATTTGTTTTGGGTAACAGTCTAAACATAGACATCAGAGCCTCTTTGTGGACTTAAAAAAACTCACATTAATTTTAATTAATTAATTAAGTTTAATTAATATTTTGTGTTCATGGTGTGTGAATGCACTCTTGACATGGTACACATGTGAAGATCAGAAGACAACGTGGAGGAGTTCTTCCACATGTGGTTCCAGGAGGTCGAACCCTAGTCTTTGGGCTTGGCAGCAAGTCCCTTAATCTACTGAATGATCTCATTGACACCTTGTGAACTCTTGGTGAAGAATTTTCATCCTTTTCCATTCTGCAAGCTTAGCATCCAAAACCCATGGAAGCGTCAGGCTTAGAAGCAGAAGCTCCATTGGGTGTCATGTTGGGAGAGTCTGATGCTTCACAGAGAGGAGAGAGTGGGAATGTATCTGAGTGTCTCTTAAGCTACACAGTTCAGAGGTTTCACTTAAAACTCATTAGACTGGACCTGGTAGCTCAAGCCTGTAACCCCAGTTATTCAGGAGGCCAAGGCAGGAGGTGTAGGGTAAAAGGGCCAGCCAAAACAAACGAATAAACAAACAAACAAAAAACAAAAACAAACCTGGTCCTGAAATCAGAGTCAGTGAAAGAAACACTTTAACTCTGAAATCAGAACCAAAAAAACACCCTGACCTGAAACCAGAGCCAAAGAAACACACTTTGGCCCTAGAACCAGAGCCAGTGAAAAAAATACACCCTGGCCCAAAAACTAGAGCCAAAAGGTTAAAAAGGACCAGTGAAAGAAACACAGTTTGGCCCTGAAACCAGAGCCAAATCTGCCCTGACCAACAAAACCAACCAATCCCTGAGCAGAACATCTCCCTGGAAAAAAATCTGCCCCTAAGAAACCCTATACAACCCCCTCTGCCTGTTCAGTTATGGGCTGTTCTTGTTCACCCTGGCAGAGGCAGCCACTCTCCTGGACTCCTCCTTCCCAAATAAATGTCTTTCTTAAAAGAGTTTTGGGTGAAGATCTTCTTTCCCAGTCATGGAGCAGAATCTTTGCTGGGATGTTCCTTTAGTCGGGGGCTGAGCAGAAGTAACAGCTTGTCACTGGAGCTGGAGGAGATGGCTACATTTCTGCAGGGGTTTCCCCTTTGGCAGAGTGAAGCAGAAGTAACATCTTGGGCAGGAGCTGAGAAGAAACAGACACTGTGCTGGGATGTTCTCTTAGGGGAGCAGAGCAGCAGAAGAAATGGATACCTCTTCTGGGACGACCCCTTAAGGGGAAGGTGTGTGGAGTCCAGCTCAGCTGTAATGGCTCTCTCTCAGAGAGGAGCAGGAGCATCCCCCACCAGAACCCGGCTTCCTGACAAGTCAGGGTACCTTTTTCCTCACAGCTGTAGGTATCCAAGATAACTCCTTTCACAGCTGTAGATATAGCCTGCCTGACTTCCTAACAAGTCAGGATACCTTTCCCTTACCTGTAACACTTGCAGGAGGATTATGAGTTAAAGGCCTGCCTGGGCTACGGAGCAAGTTCAAAGCTAGCCTGGGCAATTTAGGGAAATCCTGCCTCAAAATGAAAAGTCAAAAGAAGAGCTGGGATGTACCTCAATGGTAGAGCACTAGGCTAGTATATGCCCTAGGTTAGATTCCCACTACTCAAACAAACAAAAAACAACAGCAACAACAACAAAATCAAATGAAAACATGAAGGAACAAAACCCAAACCAAGTTCACTTACCTGGGTGTGGGAGCATATGTTCATGATCCCAGCACTGAATAGGCTAAGGAAGGAATTGTTACCAGTCCCAGGCCAGCAGGGATATGTAGGCAAATTTTTCTGTCTCACTAGCCACTCCCCAAATAACCACACAGAGACATAATGTTAATTATAAAAGCTCAGTCAATAGCTTAGGCTTGTTTTTTTAGCTAGCTCTTATTGTTGTCATTCCTAGCCACTTTACAGCTACATGACTGTGCATGCGATGTCCAGCAGTCAAGCAAAATGCTTAGTCACTCCAGGGCCTTATGTCCTACATAAGCCATGTGTTGCGTGGTCCTCGTAATCTGTGAGCAGCATGATCATGTAGTCTATGCTCGTGAATGGCATAGCCACGTAAGCCCATACTCGCATGCTTGAGGTTACTCATAAAAGCAGGCTCCACCCACTCCCCTG